CAACTTTTGATGGCAAATAGATAACAAATTTGATGCAGGATGTTATATCAAATTTTATTGCCAAATTGCCACCAGACATGCGGCAGAGCTTGTTGTCGGATAATTGCTGCAGATTTGCAGCAAAAACCGCGCAGAGCTTGTAGCGATTTGACAGCAGATTGGCGGCAGAAACCGCACAGACCTTACTGCGCTGCAAGCTTTGCGCGGTTTTTACTGCAAACTTGGCACCAATTACCCGACAGCAAGATCTGTCGCCAAAACCATAGCCTAATGTAGACACAGATGGCTATGGTTTTGCTGTGGATTTTTGATCAAATTTGCTGTCAATCTGCGCGCAGTCTGCGCTCAATTTGCTTACTGGGTGATAGTAACTAAATAAAATATTTATTCAACAATAATTAACTTGATAAAAGATAAAAAATGTTAAAGTACATAAGTACAAAATTAAGAACATACGAAAATTATACTATTATTCATTAATTTTTCTAATTTACCTAGCACCGACAAATTCATCACACTCCGGCATACGTTGCCATCGATGCACCGTCTCAAATGGCCCGAAATCAAGTGCTAGACACTCTGCAGTTGCCACGGTATCCATATTCGTGTGCTCGCAGGGTGATGCGAAACGGTATTTCATTCAACAGAATCGAGCACCTTTAACCTATACGTTCTTTCTCATCAGCACGTCTCTTTCGTACAAGAAAACTTCCGACGAGTGAACGTCCATTGGCTTCATACTTCAAGCCATTGCAAAATTCAACCGAACCGCTACAGCTCAAGATTCTTTCAACAAACTGGAACGTACAACTGTCAAAAACATGTGTATCGCGCAGATTTGGAAGGAATCGATAAAATGATGCCATCACCCACTTGCCATCACTATCGCACGCATCGGCATCAATGAAGATTTGCATATAGCTATAAGTAGAGAGAAGAAGGAGAGGGATCATGGGCCGGTTTTAGCTAATCCCGATTTCTGCTGAATGGTTATAACGCCTCGAACCAACCGTTCAACTGAACTAGTGCTGCACTAAAACTGCACTGGTTCGGAACTGGTGGTCTGTTCTTTTCAGCTACACTGCTAAACTGGTGCAATAAGTTAAAGTGAGACAAGTATATGTTTTCTCACTCTAACTTATTGCACCAATTCAGCAGTCAGCTGAAAAGAACAAACCATGGAACTCTGGCGGGAGCGGTGCACTTGGACACGGTGCATTTGGACACAGCCAATCACAGCACCGTGTGATTAGAGACATTTGTAGGGTCCCTTGGAACAGCGACTTGTGATTGGACTGTGTCCAATTGCCCCGTGTCCAACTGATATACACCTGGCGAGTACAGCAAAAGTTCATAGGTTCAGAAATGCCAGATAGGATGGAAAAGAACGCCATAGTGCAGGAAACAACATGGCGCAACACATAATTTTAGATGCAAATAATTCTTCAGATGAAGAATTTACTATACTTGCATTAATGTATGTATCTCAATCTTTGACTATGGGTGCTTTCCAGTTACGTTTTATGTATTACACAAAACCAATTTATTGGTTGTATATTATCTTACAAGATATTTTAGATAATATGCGACCAATAAATCTGGTTCTGTGTACGTATGTGTCAAGATGTGTTAAGCAATTGGAAAGCACCCTATATAACTATGGACCGCTAGCCGCTATCTTATGTCTGCAGCAAAACATCTGTCAACATCTGCAGCGCCGCCAGGACCAAACAACGGCTATTACGTACTTGTAATTTCTATTTTACCATGTGAAAAATATTTTGTGTGTTCGTGATCATAAATCGCAGTTATCATTAAAATTATGAAAAATTATTATAATATTTCTTTAATTGTCAATAACAGGCTTTTTCATTTTTCTTCAAATAAATTATTACATTAAAAAAAAAATTATACAACTTCCCAGGTAGCACACACATGTTTTAAAAATGTTTTATAAACGTTAGAACCAAACCTTTCATAACCGTTTCATAACGTTTCTGAAATGTTTTTCATGAGTAAAAATGTCCACTCAAAAAACGTTATGTGGAACGTTATTTTTGCGAAAAAAATCGTTGAAAAAATATTTTATAAACGTTTTAAAACGTTTTATAAACGTTTTTTAAACGATTCATAAATAAGGTTTCAGATAGGTTCTTGTTAAAACGTTTCTTATTGGTGCTTTATGGTTCTAAAACTATAGATACTTTTAAGAAACGTTTCTAATACGTGTATGTGCTACTTGGGTTTGCTATAATATAAAAATCAACAATTTTTAAAGTAACACGAAAAAAAATCTGATTTGCAAGGAAAATATAAAAACACAAAATAAGATATTTATATAATTTCATACCAAATTTGTATTTATTATATTACATAAAAATATATAATATTTATATAATATCCCACACAGGACGTAATATCGCAGAAATATCACAGCAATATTATATTTTCATTGCAATATTACCAGGGAATATAACAGAAATAATGCTGGAATATTACTAAGATATCACAGTAATATTAAAATGTGTGCGGCAAATGCATCACAGTAATATAATGGTGAAAATCACAATGATATTACTGTGAGAAAATCATAATATTTAAAAAAATATACTTCCCTTATAGAAATATCATACTAAGAATCATTGATAATTACTTATTTTCAGTATTAAAAATACTGGATAATAAGTAATTGTCAATGATTCTTAGTATGATATTTCTATAAGGGTTATATATTCCTAGTTTTCTCATGTTTCATAAACTTCTACATATCGAAGGTTGTCAAAATACTCTCCAAACTTTCGTGAAATCCTCCAGCGATAATTTCAAACAATATACCACCACTGGTACCCATCCATGTCCTGACCGCATTAAACTGTTGCTTAACCTGACGATCGAGCGCGCACGCGGTGACTGATAACTCCAACGATGTTTTTACAATTCATGCTTATATAATGTATCCTTATAGTGTTCACAGTACGTTATAATATACTTAGCAAACATCAAATAATAGTTATATAATTTTTACTTAATGTTTGTTGGTTTGTTGATAGATATTGAAACAATGTAATATTCGACATGCGATGAATATTGATGTAATGTAGTGAACCAGTGATAATTACTTTTACATTTTTAACAAAATATTATAATGATTAATCCAACAAAAAAAAATTAAAAATCCAAATTAAAAGAAAATCCAAATTAAACAAATCGAATTACTAAATTTTGAGAGAAACTTTTAAAAAATATTATTTAAAACAATAGTGTTGTTTCATGAAATGACATGGTTTCCTTGAACGAAATAAAAGTTTTATTTTCATGATTTTAAAAAATGATATTTCGTTTCCCTTATAGAAATATCATACTAAGAATCATTGATAATTACTTATTTTCAGTATTAAAAATACTGGATAATAAGTAATTGTCAATGATTCTTAGTATGATATTTCTATAAGGGTTATATATTCCTAGTTTTCTCATGTTTCATAAACTTCTACATATCGAAGGTTGTCAA